CAAAGCTTACAGCCGGGGGACCTGCGGCCGAACCCCTTCTCTGCGGCATCCCAGTTATGTCCCAAGTAAGATTCCGATAGAAACACTCGATTGATTTATGGGGGCGTAACTTACTCTATCAAGATGTATTAATATGCGCAACAGCAATTTTAATGGCAGGACATAGCTGGTTATTCTTGAACGTGGGAGGATGTGGAATTCCTGCCAGCGATGGGCTGTGGCTCTGCAGTTTCGGAAGCTCCTGGCTTCAGCCCTGATCCAGCCCTTGCTGATGAGAGAGAGAACTGGAGGATGGGAAGGGATCCCTCTCAATCTTGGGAAGCACCACACGTCGAGCATAGCCTCAGGGTGCAGCGGAAGCTGAGCCCCGGCCATCTCATCTCAGTAACTCGGGGAAGGGGTTCATTCTTCTTCTTTCATGGGGATCTCTGTAGCAGGTGCGTGAACGGATCGATTGTGTCATAGCTGTGTTTCCGCGTTGTGTGTACAAGGGGCGTTGTGATCGCTCCCACCTTGGGGTGGTTGTGACTTTCGAGTGAACAAATACACATAAAGCGCTCCAACAGCACGTGGCACATCCATGACCAGCAACGCTTACCTGTGGGTAGCAAAGAATTGCATTAGGTCAGAGCCAGGATTGAAACCCGGGTCTGTGGGACTCCCCTACCTGGGTTCTTTTTTTTTTTTTTTTTAAGGACATTACCAACACTTTTGTTAAAACATTGATTGATTGATTGATTGATTGATTGATTTGAAGGGAGGCAGAGTTGGAGAAAGACCTTCTACCCATTGATTTACTCCCCAAATAGCCACACAGCCAGGGAAGGGCCAAGCTCAAGCCAGGAGCTTGGAGCTTCATCTGGGTCTCCCACCTGGGTGGCAGGGGCTCAGGCACCCAGACCATCCTCTGCTGCTTTCCCAGGCACGTTAGCAGGGAGCTGGGTCAGAAGTGGAGCAGCCAGGACTCAAAACTGCTTTTTCTGTGGGATGATGGCATTGCAGGCAGTGGCTTAACCTACTGCACCATGACACCAGCCCCTAGCCAGTGTTCTTGAGTGTGTAGCACTCACACCCTCCCTCAAACCACACACATGGGCTCTTCCACACACCTGTACACACTGCTCTCCTTTCAGCCTGGCCCGGGCCTCTAGGCCAGATCTTGTCCATCCATGGTCCACCTGTGCCATTTGAATGTTTAGCACCCAGTCCAATGACTCGGAGTAGCTTCTGTTGGCATCAGGATGACCTGGAGCCCAGAGCCCTACTCCCCTCGCCTGCGCCTCCCCCTGTCCTACAGCCCAGCCTCAGCAAAGCATCACAAAGGCCAAGCTCACTCACCCCATGGCTCAGAGAGCGTCCCCCACAAGAAGTCTGTGTCGCTCGTGGCCATGAGCTCCGCTTCCCTTCTCCCCTCCTCTGTCCTCCGCATGGACACAAGCAGGCACGTGCAGAGACAAACGCGTGTGCACACGTACAGCGGCACGTGGTGGGCAGGGAGCAGGATTAGGTGTCAGGAGGCTCAGCCTGCCCTCCCGGCTCATGCTGCTGCCGCTGCACCTATCAGAAGCTGAGCATGAGCTTTGGATGAACAGGGTCATTTAAACCCTTCTAGTTTTGTTGTTGTTGTTGTTGTTTAATTTCTAAAGACATAGTATAGGTGTACATTTGTTCGTATCTTTCCTTTTTTTAAAAAAGATTTATTTATTTATTTGAAAGTCAGAGTTACACAGGGAAAGGAGAGGCAGAGAGAGAGAGAGAGAGAGAGAGAGAGGCAGAGAGAGGGAGAGGCCTTCCATCCACTGGTTCACTCCCCAATTGGCCACAGTGGCTGGAGCTGTGCCAATCCAAAGCCAGGAGCCAGGAGCTTCCTCCAGGTCTCCCACTCAGGTGGCCATGAGCTCTGCTTCCCTGGCCACAGCAGGGAGCTGGATCGGAAGTGGAGCAGCTGGGACTCGAACCGGCGCCCACATGGGATGCTGACACTGCAGGCAGCGGCTTTACCTGCTATGCACAGCACCAGCCCCAATCTTTCTTTTCTTTTTTTTTTTTTTTAATCTTAAATGTTACACAGATAAAGCAAATGTGGCTTTGAGGCTTTGACGGTGTCCCTTGCTGCCTTCCCCAGCAATAGCCACTGGCCAACTGTCTCTCCTTGCAGAATCTTTCTCTTTGCAAGTGGGCATTTGCTACCGAGGCCCCTGTGACACGTGCAGTCCCATGGGAGTGTAGGATGTGGCTTGCTCTGCCACTTTTCCTTTGCAATTGCACGCACCAGGGAAGCCCCTGTGTCTGTGTCTGGTACCCCTGGAGACAGAGTTCTGGTTATGTCTAGCGTTTCACTGCCAAGGGGCACCTCGGCATTGGACAGGCCGGGTGGGGTGTGCACCCGGCACACACACATGGCATTTCTGTCTGCCGGACTGGCTGCACCGGCTCCTCTCTATGCTGCAGACCCCGCGTTTGGTATTTAGTGCCTTTCTCTTGGTAGCTCCGGGCTGGCCTGGCCTTTCCATGGTCTGCCTCCTCCAGAGCCCTTAAGCCCCACCTCTGGGGCCACACAGGGCCCGGCCGAGAGTGTGGCTGCAGGGTGAACCTGCCCCTCCGTGCTGGGCCCTCCCTCCCTGCACACCCACCCTGCCCCACCCATCAGCACCTCATTCACCATCCCCACCCCCGACTCCTTGTGCCATGTGTGAAATAGTAGTGACCCAAGGCCAAGGGCAGGAGCAGGAATCATTGAGGTTTGTCTTCAGGAGAGAGCCAGCTGGCCATTCTAGGAGGCCTCTTGGGTGGACACTCCTTAGATGGGCTCCCCTCCCCCAGACCTGGTCAAGTCCAAGCCTGCTAGGTGGAGAGATTCCATGTCATTAGTTCACCCAGGGGTGACCAGGCTCTGGGAGATCAACCAGGCAAGCTACTGATTGATAAGTCAGACCAGCCACTTATTAACTGACGCCAGCGACTCTGCTGAGCTGGCTGTAGCATTTCAGAGGGTTCCTCTGCTCGCTCCTTGCGAATCCCTGGGAATCCAAGTCAGAGTCAGAAGGAACAGGGTGGAATGGAGTGCGATGAGGCTAAAGAATCAGAGGAGCGGGTGCCTGGGTTTGAGTCCTGCCTCCATCCCCCAGTGGTGGAGTCAGCCCCTTGGCCTCAGTTGTACTCATCTACAGAATGGGACAGTAGTAACGCCCTCACCGTGTATGCGCTGTGCACCCGACCTGGGCTGCGCCCAGCTCCTCTGTCACTTGCGTGTGGAAGCTCTGTGTTCCTCAGGCCCCTGCAACTCATTCATCCTACAACAAAGCTGGTGTCTATGCGTACCCCTGCAGGGGCACCTCCATCCTGATGGTGGCTCCCCATTTTCCTACTGTTAAGGCCACACTGCCTTCCCCGGGGGGACCCATCTGCCTCCCTGCAGAGACACAGGAGACATCTGAGTCTTGGTAGCAGGGCTTTTGTCCTGGTGATGCTGACGGTAAAACCCACATCCACTGCCTCCTCTGGATCCTGGGACTCAGGTCGGGTGAGGGAGAGGGGACCTGGGCACGCACCCAGCAGCAGTAGGCAAAGTGCAAGCTTCGAGGGCAACGCCATGGTCCCCGATGTCCTCTCTCCCTTCCCCCATCACCCCTGCTACAGTGAGCCCCACCGTCTTCACACCGTGGCCCGCAGGTCCCCAGGGCTCCTATAGGTCTCATCTTTGAGCTGCAGGTGCAATGTCACCTGTCTGCCCACAGCCCTCATAACAGCATCAGGCCAACTTCCAGGCACTTACCAGTGCCCCCTGCCCACCCCCTGCCAATCTGAGGGCTTCCTGGAAGCCAGGCTTGGCTTTAGGGCCCCTTGTGGTCTCTCCAGCCCTCTGAGAGTTCCCCCACATCCCCGCAGCCGGTGCCACAATACAGGTTTGTAGAATAATGAACGCGTTTCAGGGGCTTGGGGAACACAGAGCTTTCTACACGCAAGTGACGGAGGCACTGGGCACAGCCCAGTTCACAAGAATGTGAGTCAATTTCAAGGATTCTGATCCTGTGTGGACCAGTGGTTCATAACCTTGGAGCCGCTGGCTTCCTTCCCCCAAGGGAAACAGGCTGTGTACCTGTCATGTCATACGCTGTCTCCGGAGGGTTATGCTCCCTGGGCTGGTACCCAAGCGGGGGAAAACTATGTAGGGGGCAGGGAAGAAGAGGAGGCAGCATCACCGGTGTCACTGTGGACAGTGGGACGGCTGGGTGGGGGTAGCAGGGGTGGGGGCAGAGAGGAGCTGTTCCCAGCCCATCAGACCAAGCAAACCCCCACCCCACCTCCAGGAGAGCAGCGGGGTAGAATGACCGCTGGGATGCTCAGGTTCAAATCCTGGCTTTGCCACTTCCCAGCTGTGGACCTTGGGCAAACACGTAACGTCAGTTTCCCCTGGAATAATACAGTCCCTGATGGATTGAGATGTTAAGAAAACTGAGAAGGCTGAAACATGTCTCCAGAGCACATCACAGGCGCTCAATCCCTGCTCACTGCTCCCTGAAGCATTTGTTTAGCCTCTGAGAGCAGGGTCCTGAGGGCACAGCAAGAAGACTTGGAAGAAGGTCCCCTCCTCCAGGAAGCCTTCCCTAACTCCCCACTCCCACTCATGGGTCCGATTCCAAGGGTCGGGTTCCAGCACCCAGGGGGAGCTTTGTATTTTCCTGGATTATACTCTTGGTCTTCCCTGAGCTCTTCGACCGCAGGGATCCTGTGTCTCTGCTGTGTCTTTCTGCCTGGCACGTAGTAGGTGCCCAGTAAGCAGGTGTTGACTAGGAACAGAGATGGGAGGTGTCGGGAAGGTTCCAGATTCCAGGCTGTCGCAGGGGATGCGGGGAGTGGGGCACTGAGCAGCCAAGCAGCAGGTGAAGGGATTAAAAGGGTGGGAGGGGGTGTGACCTGGGTGGGGCGGCGGGGCTGTGGCAGGCAGTGTCACTCTAACCGGGCTCTGACTTGGCTCTCTCTCTCTTTCCTTTCCCTAGTTCCTGGCATTTGACACCCAGTTGCTGATGGGTAACCGTCGCCACTCGCTGAGCCCCGAGGAGTATATTTTTGGAGCCCTCAACATCTATCTGGATATCATCTACATTTTCACCTTCTTCCTGCAGCTTTTTGGCACCAACCGGGATTGAGGAGCCCCGCCCCCTGCCCCCACCCCTGCCTCTCCCTCAGAACGCCCTCTCCCCTTGCTCTCCCAAGACCAGACATAAAACTAGCTGCCCGCCAGCCCACGTCTCATGTGCCCCGCCCGGCCCCTAAGATGTCGCATGTGCATTTACCATCAGGGCCCCATGGAGAACCTTTCCAATGACATCTTCCAGTTTGGGACAGTCACACTCGAAGGCCCCTCTGAGTCTGGGGATCCGAGGGACGGGTGAGAGGGACCTGGCAGGATTTCCCAGGACGCCTGGAGCTGCCACTGTGCCACAGGTCAGCACTGTCACTTTGGAAGGAAGGGGGGATGCTCACAGGTGGGGGATGAAGTGAGAGAAGGGCCTCCCACCAGTCGCTTGCTCCAGGGGCTTGGGCCCAGGGGCCCAGGGCTGCAGGAGAGAGGCAGGAAGCCGGTGCCTCTGCTGCTTGCCTTGGTTTCCCCTCCTGGGTGTGACAGAGCTCTGTTGGGGCAGGAGGTTTGGACATGGTTGGGGGGAAGGGGGCTTCTCCTGAAAAAGGCCCGTCCTGGGTCCCCTGGAGAGCAGGGAGTGACCCTCTGTAGTACGTGACCCTCCGCTGTGTCCACAGGGCAGGTGTTGGGGGTGTGGAGCCAAGTCCTACACCTCCCCTCTGCCTCCATTCTCTCTGATTTCTAGCCCCGGCCTGAGGCTTGGAGAGAGGTGTGCAGGCCCTCAGGCAGGAGGCTCTGGGGGAAGAGGCAGTGGCTGCAGCAGCTGGGCCACCCCCTCTGGAGGGCGCCTTGTCCTGCCCCCCCCCAAGTCCCCTCTGTACCTGTTTCCAGAGCCCTCCCCCACCTGCTCCCCTTTGCTAGCCTCCCTCCCCTCCCCGCCGGGCCTCCTAAGGCCTTAGTGGTGTTGGCAATGCCACGTCCCTTCCCCACAGGCCCACAGCCCCAAGCCCCCGCCCCCACCCCTTATCGCTGCATCTCCTTTGCAAGTTGTCCAGCCCTGATGCTGACAGCCAGGGCCAGGCCCTCCGGCTGGCCCCATGCGCTGAGGCCAGGGCTCCCTTATCAGCCTCCAGGCGGCTGGGATCTCAGGCAGGGTGTGCGTTGGGTCACCCAAGCTCGGCCAGGGGAGGGGACTGGGGGGCCACACCTGGAGAACGTGCAGCTGGCATGTGTGCATGGCCAGCTCCGGGCCAGTGGAAAGTTACTGGCTGGAGGCAGGGAGGCCTGGGCTGGATGGCTCGGCCCTCCTTTCGCCTCTCCCTCCAGGGGCTTCTCTTCCCTTCTTCCTGGGGGTGGGGTGTGCTCTGTTCACCCCTGGAAGGCCTCAGAGATGTTATCTCCATCCCCCACCCAGCCCTCCACACCCTCCTGCTTCGAGTTTCCAAGAAACATTGCAGAAGCCTTTGCAGTTTTGTTCCATCTTGGGTTGTGAGCAGAAAAGGAGCCCAGAGCCAGGTGGTGTGTGTGTGTGTGTGTGTGTGTGTGTGTGTATTGGATATGTGAGCAGAAAAGGAGCCAGCAGGCAGGGTGTGTGTGTGTGTGTGTGTGTCTGCACCATGCCAGCCTCGCTGCTCTTACACACCTGCTTGTTGCTGTCTGGGGTTCGGTTTTCCCGCCCATAGCCATGTTGGGATTGGGGGGGGGGGTGAGAAGTGGCACCTGAACACTTCTAAGGATCTTCAGAAGGTTCGAGGAAAATGCGTATTATGACAACAACCCCATGGATCTGGAAAATTTTTTTTGCCCTGAAATAAATATCGTTTAATTCCATTTTCCACGAACTTCTGAAATCCCTTCTGTCCACCAACTGCCTCACCCAGCTGTGACCCAGGGGTTCCTTGCCCCATCTCTGGCCTCCATTTTGTTGTTTTGTTTTAAGATGTATTTATTTACTTGAGAGGCAGAGTTACAGACATAGAAAGAGAGAGAGAGACGTCTTCTACCCACTGGCTTATTTCCCCAATTGGCCACAACAGCCGGAGCTGTGCAGATCCGAAGCCAGGAGCCAGGAGCTGCTTCTGGGTCTCCCACATGGGTGCAGGGGCCCAAGGACTTGGGCCATCTTCTACTGCATTCCCAGGCCACAGCAGAGAACTGGATTGGAAAGTGGAGCAGCCGGGACTCGAACTGGCGCCCTTATGGGATGCCGGCACTGCAGACGGTGGCTTTGCCTGCTTTACCACAGCGCAGGCCCCTGGCCTCAGTTGTTACCAACCCCCACTGTCCTGCCACTCAAAACTCTGCCTTTCTCCTGCTTCCGCATCCAGCGTCCAAGTCCTCCTCTTCTTAGGCTAATTCATGCCCACTGAGAGAGTGCCCAAGGCGGAGAGTTAAAATCCCGGGGGGCTGGGACGCCCTCAGCCAGGAAGTAGGGGTCCCGAGCAGGCTCCGGCCCTGCAGGGCTGTGCAGGACCAGGGCATAGCACCCGCCTTCCACCTTGCATCCAGGCAGCGGCGAACCCAGAACACCTGCAGTGGTCTTGGACAGAGCAAGGGCGGGGGAACGGGAATGCAGGATTACGGGAAACCGAAGCCGGGCAGGTGTGCAGGAGGCCGCTGGCTCCTTGCATTTTTGGCCTGGGTGGGGCTGGGGCGGTAAAGTGGTAGATTGGATTTGAGAAAACCAGAGGCAGCCGGGAACCTGACGCCTTGTGACCAAAGCTAGAGGTCACCCGCTCATGCCCGGTGGCTAGGAGTTCCTCTCCTTTCCTCTCTCCCGGACGCCAATTCCCAGGCACACGCGTGGCCCCTGCCGTACGGCTGGGGAAGCCCCAAGAATCCTGTTCTTCCACCTCCCTGGGATCGGGGCTGGAACAGACACCCTTGTTCCGAAGGGTTCCGCGGCTGCCTCCCTGGGAACACGGGCCCTTGGTCCGCACGCTGAACCGGGGAGCACGGGCCGGGCTGGCTCTCTGCTGCCCCTCCGCGGCTTCCTGAGGGAATGCAAGGTCTGGTTATGAGGGAGGGAAACCGAAGGGGCCTTAGAGCGGGGGGGGGGGGGGGGGGGCCTTGGAGGTGGGGGCCCGGATCTGGTTGCAGTTTTCCTCAGACCGTCCTAGACCTGACTTCCCAGCAGCCCCAGCTGTGTCCCCTATGTTCCAGGGATTGCCGCATCTTCTCAGTCACCGTTCACCTGGGTGCCCCAAACCAACCCTGAGCCACCCCCTCCCCTGGGCGGCTGCCCTGAGGGTCTGAGGCAGAGCCCCCCCCTCCCGTGTCGCGCCCCGGACCCTGTGGGCCACAGTGCAGACGCCGCTGCTGTCCTGACCTGCGCTGCTCCGAGGTCCCCGGAGACCGGTGACTGCTCCCTGGGGCCTCGCCATCGGGGGAGGGGGGAGTGCTCATGTCCCACTGGAGACAGGAATAAAAACATTTAGCACACATGAACCTGATCCTTTTTTCCCGCCGCAGCGCTGCCATCCACTGTAGCTAAGTTTGCCTTTTTCTGTAGAAAAAGCAACAGGGCTCTCCTTCCCAATAAACCCTTTATGTAGATTTTAGGATCCTGGGTGAGGAAAGTCCCCAGAGAAGCCCCTCTGGACAGGGACCACACTCCTTTCCATGGAAGCCTATTTCTTGGACAGCTCTGGTAGAAGATTCTGACTTGTCTTTGTTTTATCTTTTAATTTAACAGGCAGAGAGACAGAGATGGGGAGAGAGAGAGAACTCCATCAACGGGTTCACTCCCCAAATGCCCCGGGAGACAAGAACTCAATCCAGGTCTCCCATGTGGGTGGCAGGGACCCAACTGCCTGAGCCACCTACTGCTACCTCCCAAGTAGTTAGCAGGAAGCTGGAGTCCAGAGCCGGAGCTGGGACTTGGATGTGGGATGCAGGAACCAGCATCCTAACCTCCAGACTAAAATGCCTGCCCCAGTTCTTCCTTGCTTTCTCTCAAAGGAAAGCCTGTGTCACACCTGGACAGAGCCCCTGGAACAGCAACTTCAAAGCCGGGCAACTTCTCTTGGATTTAGAATGCATGGTCTCAGTAAGCAATTTGGGGTGAATGGAGGAACCCCTGGATGAATGGATGAATCTCCTCCAACCCTTTTCCTTTTTACCTAAGTGGCAGAAGATGCTGTGACTCATCCAACTTTAGACCTGGGAGTAGGAGATGCCGGTCGTGTCCCAGGACAGGAAGCAGGTGCAGAGGCTCCAGGCTGCACAGCGAGTGTCCCAGGTCCACGCTGCCCCATGCTGCTGCAGCAGAAAAGCAGTACCAGGATGGGCACCATGGCAGGAGGCAGCCCCTGGATCAGCGCGGAGGGGCGGGACAGGTGGGAAGGAGGGGATGTGGCAGCCCCCTGCCTCCGAAGCCCCCCCCCCAGCCTCCCCACTCTCCCACCCAATCTACTGCTGTTAGTTTGCTGGGGCTGCCCTAACAACTTCCCACAACCTGTTGAGCTTAGAACAGCAGGTAATTCATTCTGCCGCTGTTGGGGGAGGCTGGGAGCCTGGAATGGGGCATCAGCAGGTTGATTTCTGGTGGGCCCTGCTCCTCCAGCTGCCGGCAGCCCCTGGTGCTTCTCTCAGCTCAGCCTCCATCTTCATGGGGCCTTTTCCTCTGTGTCTTGAATCTACCTCTCCTTTCTCTTTTGAGGTTACCTGTCTCTGTATTTAAGGCCCTCCATGAATCCAGCATGATGATCTCATCTCAAGATCCTTAATTGGGGGCTGGCGCTGTGGCATAACGGGTAAAGCCGCTGTCTGCAGTGCCGGCATCCCATATGGGTGCTGGTGCTAGTCCCAGCTGCTCCACTTCCGATCCGGCTCTCGCTATGGCCTGGGAAAGCAGTGGAAGATGGCCCAAGTCCTTGGGCCCCTGCACCCATGTGGGAGTCATGGACGAAGCTCTAGGCTTCAGATCAGCCCAACTCTGATAGTTGCAGCCATCTAGGGAGTGAACCAGCAGATGGAAGACCTCTCTCTCTCTCTCTCTCTCTCTCTCCCTCTCCCTCTCCCTCTCCCTCTCCCTCTCCCTCTCCTCTTTCTGTGTAACTCTGATTTTCAAATAAATGAATAAATCTTTAACAACAACAACAAAAAAAGATCCTTACTTGGAAAAAAGACCTAGTTTCCCAAAGAGGTCACATTCACAGGTACAAGGATTTAGCATTCGGACATATCTCTCTGCAGGAACAGGGGGTGGGGGCCACTGTCCAACCCAGGACACCATCCATTCCCTTCTGGCAGCTACTACCCCAGGTGGTGACCTCCATGTACCTCTTTCTTCCCATTTCCAGACGCCAGTGAGGCTGGAGGGTTCCAGAGCCAAGCGACCCTGCCACCTGCCACCTGCCTCTGCTCACATCTGGCTACTCCCAGCAAACATGTGTGCTCCCATACACACACCCAGTGCACCCCCAGATGGCTAAGACACTCCTCCTCCAGGGGCTCTGCTTTCTGCCCTGCAGAGAGGACTGAGCCTGGTCCCGTCGTACGGCACTTCTGTTCCCCTTCATTAGCTTTTCCACTGCATAAGGAGTTAGCCGCCCTGGGGCTGCTGTGCCTCGGTAAGTTCACAGTCAGCCATGCCCACCTGTCCGCCAAGGCAGCAGTCCTGTGCAGAGTAAGACATCTCAAAAGAGATTCTCTGAACTCAGGTGTCCCAGCCCCCAGCCCCCAGCTGTTGGCGTGTTCCCACGCTCGGTCCAAGACCTCACAAAGCACACAGGCAACCACCGCTTCTGCACCCTGTGCAAATCCCTGATCCACAGACTCCGAGAACACAATGCAACAGTTGCGGTTTTATGCCACCAACTTGGAAGTTGCTCACTGAGCAGCAACAGAATTTGGTACCCGGAAGTGAGGCACCTGAAACATTTATCACTGGCCTGGGGAATGGGAGACACGTGACAGATCCCCTCTCCCCCCGCCATGAGAAGGTGGGAAAGCTGGAATGGCCTTGAGGAAAATTGAGAAGACGGGGGAGAAGCTGAAAATGTCACAGCCACATCTCACGACCTGGCTCTGACTCCTGACTCCAGCTTCCTGCTAACGTAGACCCTGGAAAGCAGTAGCAATGACTCAAGTATAGGGAGCTGCATTGGGTCTTACCTTCTGGCTTTGGCCTGGCCCAGTCTTGGCTGTTGCGGACAGCTGAGGAATGAATCAGTGTATGGGAGCGCTCTCTCTCTCTCTCTCTCTCTACATTTTTTAAAGAAAGAAAATGTTGCCGGCACCGCGACTCAATAGGCTAATCCTCCACCTAGCGGCGCTGGCACACCGGGTTCTAGTCCTGGTCGGGGCGCCGGATTCTTTCCCAGTTGCCCCTCTTCCAGGCCAGCTCTCTGCTGTGGCCCGGGAAGGCAGTGGAGGATGGCCCAGGTGCTTGGGCCCTGCACCCCATGGGAGACCAGGAGAAGCACCTGGTTCCTGCCTTCGGATCGGCACGGTGCGCTGGCTGCA